CGAGGAGTGTGTCGGGCCTCTGGTGCGGCAGTAGCGGTGAAGCGTGTAGAAAAAGAGGGGCCTGCCTATGCTGTTACTGATCGTCTGGAGGGCTCCAAGGCCCAAGGGGACTATGAATCGGCTTTGAGAGAAATCGCTGTACTGAGGGCTCTGGGGAAGGCACCAAGACGTGTGTGTGCCTTGAGGGAAGTGGCAGAAAGGAAGAGGGTCATCTGGTTGGTCCTCAACTTGGCCCCTGGGGTCCCGATCGGCCGAGCCTTCATGAGCCTGCATGGAGAGTTCATAGGGGGGAAGCGCATCTACTCTGTGAGGCCCACGAGGGTCTTCCAGCGACTCGTGGCGAACGAGGACGACTTCGGCCGCATTTTCATTCAGAAAGTCCTCAGACAAATACTCCGTAGAATGGGAGCAGCACGTACCACTCCAACGGCATCTTCCTCCCCTCAGAGGGCCTGCTTGAGCTCACCGCGTGCGGGTACATACACGGAGACGTCAAGCCGGACAATGTCATGCTGGAGGTCTCACCGACTGGTCCTAGAGTGACGCTCATCGACCTCGGCTCAGCGGTGAGGCCAGGCCTTGAGGATTCCCTGTTGGAGGCGCCGGCCGCTACTCTAGAGTCCGTGAGATGCCTTTGTACTGCCCCTTCCCTTCACACCGTTGTAGGTACATGCCTCCTGAGGCCCTAGATAGGAGTAGGGGGGGCTCCATGGTTGACGCTTGGAAGTTGGATATGTGGGCCCTGGGCGCTATGGTGCTGGAGTGGATCACAATGGCCCCACTATGGCTGTACCGGAGGGACGCCCGACCCGAGTCGACCTCATGACCCTGGCCTAGGTCCTACCATTGTCGAGCGTATCTCCAAGTCTTGGAGGGTCAGTCTAGGGTCGCAGAGGAAGCCTATGTGACATACCCTCAAGGAGGCCTGTTCGCTGTGCCGGGCAAGGACCCATTAAAGATAGCACGGCGGCAGAGGGAAGTGGTAGTGAGGTCCCCTCGAGCCACGTTCTAAGGCTGCGTGCTCAGGTTACGGATCTACATCGTATCATCAATGACCCAAGGCACCCAGGACTGCCCCTCAGAATGTGGCGGTAGTACGTTGGTGGTCTCCTTCTCATCGTCGTCGTACCCTTGGTGCCCCTCAGGCATGGTCCTGCCTTCCTAACGTCCCTATTGGCACTATCCACGGCGGAGCGTCTATCGGCTCGGACAGCTGCTGCCCATCCATTCCTTGCTGACCCCTCCCAACATGGACCATGAAATTTCCAGTAACAATCAAAGGTGTCGTCGTGTTGCCCTTCAGCGGGCAGGACCTGCCTGCTAGGCAGTGCCTAGGTTTGTCTCTGCCCGTTATGAATGGTTACTCGTCGGCCTCGAGCCCTCGACGGCCACGTCCAAAGCTAGCGGCTCGGTAAGTGCACTTTGGTGTTCAAGGGGTAGCCCGGAGGTCGGCTAGACAGGGGCCACCAAGGGGTCACCACTGCCAGTTTCAGTGCCGTTTTGAGTGTCTCTGAATGTCGTGAAGCTGTGGGGAAGGTACGAGGCACC